TACATACATCTGTCCAGGAAGTACTTGTTCCACGTCTTAAAACAGTCCTGTACCAGCAGTGTCAAGAACATGTACTCCCTGGTAGCAGCATTAGAGGTGTCCACGTCTCCCTGGAGCATTAGAGGTGTCATGATGAACAGTCCCTGGTAGAGTTGTCATGATGAACATGTAGTCCCGGGTAGCAGCATTAGAGGTGTCATTAGAGGTGTCATGATGAACATGTAGTCCCTGGTACCAGCATTAGAGGTGTCATGATGAACATGTAGTCCCTGGTAGCAGCATTAGAGGTGTCATGATGAACATGTAGTCCCTGGTACCAACATTAGAGGTGTCATGATGAACATGTAGTCCCTTGTACCAACATTAGACTGACTGACTGACTGAGTTTAGTTTTACGCCGCTTTTGGCAATATTCCAGCAATATCACGGCGGGGACACCAGAAATGGGCTTAACACATTGTGCCCATGTGGGGAATCGAACCCTGGTCTTCGGCGTGACGAGCCAACGCTTTAACCACTAGGCTACCCCACCGCCCCAACATTAGAGGTGTCATGATGAACATGTAGTCCCTGGTACCAACATTAGAGGTGTCATGATGAACATGTAGTTCATTATACCAACATTAGAGGTGTCATGATGAACATTTAGTCCCTGGTACCAACATTAGAGTTGTCATGATGAACATGTAGTCCCTGGTACCAACACTAGAGGTGTCAAGATGAACATTTAGTCCCTGGTACCGTCATTAGAGGTGTCATGATGAACATGTAGTCCCTGGTACCAACATTAGAGGTGTCATGATGAACATTTACTCCCTGGTACCAACATTAGAGGTGTCATGATGAACATGTAGTCCCTGGTACCAACATTAGAGGTGTCATGATGAACATGTAGTCCCTGGTACCAGCATTAGAGGTGTCATGATGAACATGTAGTCCCTGGTACCAACATTAGAGGTGTCAAGATGAACATTTAGTCCCTTGTACCAACATTTGAGGTGTCATGGTGAAAATGTAGTCCCTTGTACCAATATTAGAGGTGTCATGATGAACATGTAGTATCATGTACCAACATTAGAGGTGTCATGATGAACATGTAATCCTTTGTACCAACATTAGAGGTGTCATGATGAACATGTAGTCCCTTGTACCAACATAAGAGGTGTCATGATGAACATGTCCCTTGTATCAACATCAGAGGTGTCATGATGAACATGTAGTCCTTTGTACCAACATTAGAGGTGTTATGGTGAACATGTGGTATCATGTACCAACATTCAAGGTGTCATGATGAACATGAAGTATTATGTAGCAACAACAGAGGTGTCATACTGAATAAGTAGTCCCTTGTACCAGCATTAATGGTGTCATGCTGAACATGTAGTGTCATGTACCAACATTAGAGGTGTCATGATTAACGTGTAGTGTCATGTCCCAACATTAGAGGTGTTATGATAACCATGTAGTATCATGTACAAACATTAGAGGTGTCATGACGAACATGTATTCTTTTGCCCAAACATTTGAAGCAATGTAAGATTTAGTATCTTGTTGTAATATATGAGTTGTCAAGATGAACGTGTAGTCCCTTGTACCTACCTTAGGGGTGTCATGAAGAACATGTAGTCCATTTGACCAACATTAGAGGTGTCATGTTGAAAATGTAGTCCCTTGTACCAACATTAAAGGTGTCAATATGAGCATCTATTATCTTGTACCCACATTAGAGGTATGTAACATTAAACTATTTTGAAACTTTCTCGATAGGCATTACATACGGGTATACAAAAGTGGGTTGACAATAGCTAAACAAAAAATTGTTTCTGTTCACATCCAACATCCCTGTATATGAGTGTCCCGCACCCGGCAAACATGCAATACAGACTAATTAATATTTTATTGAAAATATCATATGAAACACAGGTTCGGCCAGTATGGTAATATATGCATATGAAGGAAGATTAGGTGGGATGTCATCCAAAAGCAGACAATTTAGTAAAATCTTATCACACACAGTGCCACATGATCTCGGCCCTCTGCGGAGGACAGCTGTACCAACAATGTCAGGTCGACATTGTGTTCATTTAACTAAAAGAAAACCGAAACTGGAAGCACACAGTATTTTGATACGTATAACGTTGAATTCGGCCACGTCATTCTGTCACATGCTGTGGGCGTGTACTTGTATGACGCATGTTTTATGGATTGCATCCGGCGCGTTTCGTAGAAATTGTAAGGGATCATTCGTATTTCCACTTTCTGTTTGTCACCATATTTCGTTCAAGCCAGCGACTTTAACACAAAGCATTTGCTGATCGACAGGGAAGGGAACGTTCTAAGTGTGTTGGAATACATATGCATTTTCTTTTAGAATCTATAAAAAAGCCATGCCTTTAGAATACATGACTTCAGTTGTGTTATTGTCTGTTGAGGAAATGAGTAATGAAGGATTGATATTTTCTGTGTTTCAGGAGCTAAGACATGGCAACCATTACCTTTTACCACTACACGAACGAGTCGGGGAAGGACGCTATCGTCAGGGACAAACTAATACGCCAAAGTGATGGAGCAAGGGATGCCCGGCATGGGACAGGTGGGTCACAAATAACAAAAATATATGGCTTCATATTTTACCACACAATCCAGTAAAACACAAACATTCTGTAAATCAAGCTAAGCATGTTGTTTGTATGTTTGCTAAGGTTGCAATCAGCTATAAGACGGCGATCTCTGAATAATCGGGTCTGAACCTGATAACCCAGTGATTGACATCATGAACATCGATTTATGTAATTGGGATCCGATGACGTCCATCAACTGTGTCATCGAGCCTGACGACCCGATTTCATTAGTCGCCTGTTACGACAGACCAATCAGTTGGTGTCGTTATACTGTATGTGATGTATGTATGTATGCATGTCATCTGTACAGTTCTGATATCTTATGTGTATGTTACATCCTAATATATGATGAGCAGTTGCACTGTACGTAAACGTCTTATGCCGTGTCAAACATTATTTTGGAAACATCTTGACATTTTATAACATGTAGTATGTATGTATGTAAGTATGTAGTCGTAGTAGAAAATGGCGGATTCTTATAAACATTTTATCTTATTGATTGTAAGTCATGTACATCTAAGAACGACATAGGTCATAAGATGTATGTATGTAAAGGTGGTATGTTATTACTATTGTAGTTGTACGTATGTATGTACATACGTACGTATGTATGTATGTATGTATGTATGTATGTATGTATGTATGTATGTATGTATGTATGTATGTATGTATGTATGTATGTATGTATGTATGTATGTATGTATGTATGTATGTATGTATGTATGTATGTATGTATGTATGTATGTATGTATGTATGTATGTATGTACATGTAAGAACTACAATAGTAATAACAGTAACTCTCTCCATCTTGGCGTTCGATAACCTGTTGAAGGAGTGATCGTATACTCCAAAACGTTGTGTTCCCCTTAATAAAGAAACTGACATCCATACATTCTCTCTTGTATGCGTATAAATTCTACTATTGCCTTTCAAAGACTACAGGATTGTGCAGGTGTCGTAACAATTTTTCCAAACAATGCCTAGAATCCTTGCACCAGTACTTTCGCAAACTTACTTCAGTTATATAAGCTCCCGCGTTTCTGTACTCATTTGCAGTTTTGCAATAGTTACTCACTCCAGTGTAATTCTTTGTAGGTGTGTACGGAACAAGTCTGTCTCCTTCTGAAGGACTCAAGAAAATAGCCTGGAACAACTGGGATGGTATTGTCAACATAAACAAGAGCATGCTGATGAGGGCGTCATGGGCAATCAAGGTGGAGCTACCACAGTCCAGGGTTCGAGAAGTTGATTCAAAGCGTGACATCTTGATTTACACTGGCGGTGACCTTGTACTTGTACCTGGCAATTACGAGGTCATCAAGGTTGCCTGAGCAAAGAGAAAACTGCGATTTTGATAATGTAATTTAAAGTTCCATATATTCAAAATTTTATAAGAAGATTCAAGCCACAGATGGGTGAGAACAGATGATTATGTATGCATGATGTTGAAATCAGGACAAGTCGTCACTGCAGACAACATCATCAGTATGTCACTTTCTGTCTTATTTTGTCACTTCACTCAGCAGTAAACATTGATCTATCATTGTTGTCTGTGTTGCATTATTTATTTGATACACCGTGTCAATGTTTTGTATATATCTAATTGTGCATCTGTATGTTAAACCTGATCGGTTACACTGTTAGGACAACTGGAACTATACAAAGTACACAAACATGAGTACACCTTGTTCCAAAGGGTACAGGGTATCTGATGTAAAAGGTGTTTGTATAAATGACTACTCTCATGTTTCATGTTGTGCATAATTTATACCTGATATAATGCATATATGAAGCCATGCTAAACTTCACCGTGTCTACTGCCATTTAATGGTTATAAATTAAAGAAGACGGCCTAGATGATCAGTTGTGAAGCCTGTCGTGACTAAGGCTTTTTGAGCCAATATGATAAGATTGGGTGAAATAGGGTTAAACGTTGTTCTTAAGATTATTGAGCTCATATATTTGTGTGTACGTCTGTGTGTGTGCGTGTGTGTCTCTCTCTCTCTCTCTCTCTCTCTCTCTCTCTCTCTCTCTCTCTCTCTCTCTCTCTCTCTCTCTCTCTCTCTCTCCCTCTCTCTCACTCTCTCTTTCTCTCTGTGTATGTATGTGTACGTGCGGTCGTGTGTGTGTATGCTGTTAGTACTAGTCCGAACATTCTATCCACTAGACCACGAGGGTGCTCGTCCACAAGGAATAACTTTGTGACTGGACCTGAGAAAGAGAAGGCTATCGATGATGATTTGGAGATATTACGTGCGCTTCCCGACCTGTGTATTTCGCGCACGTGAAAACATGTCACAACTTCTATCAATGAAGTTTGATAATATTCACGTTAAATTGATCATTTGGGAACGTGTTATGAGGGAGACAATGACACCATGTGTATCTCCATGCTGTCTCTTATCCAAAATGTTGGTACTCGGATGATCACACAGAGATCCGAACTTGACGCAAGTACAGCTGGAAGCAAGTGTTTTACATCCTCAAGGCCTGCGGTGTTGGGAGCCGGGGATCACGATGTAATTTCAGCTAATAACCGCGCTGCACCCACCCATGTCATTGTAGACACTTGTGTGTGTACCCAAATGTTTACACATATCCATATAACAAACGGAAAGCCAATCTTCAAAGATATTGTTTATCTTACTTTGGCATCCTAAACCTAGGAACGCCCACTTCCTGTATTGGGCATCATGCAACATTACTTGTTTGATAGATACACTCTCTCTGTTACGTTATTGTCAATGTATATTTTGAGTTGCCATGGTGATTGAAGATGTTTATCAGCATACTGGATTGACAAATCAGAACTGAAATCGAATAACTCCCGAGAATAATGGCACAGAGGTTTCAATGTTTAAACTACACTTTCAGGTGCGTGTATGCCATTCCGTTGTCATGACGTATTTGTCATTTCAACTGAATCCATATTCTTTGAAACTGAAAATGGAGGGAGGGAAAACGCAGCATTTAGCAGCCCCCATACTACTGTTTAGACAAACGCTTAGTCTCTGAAAATATATAGTTTTGAGGTAAATATATAACTGTGTTATGAGCTCTGAGATACAGAAGTGAGTTAGTGAGTTTGATAATAACAGGCCCTGAACTAGAGAAAGTCTTTATATAAATGTTATCTCCACGGCACTCACAGATAACAAGATCTCGGAGGAGGAGTTTCGTTTGGTCCTCTCTGAACTTACCAAGTACCACGAGATGAAACATGAGATTTGAACCAAGTCTCGTAAGACTGCCGTCAGCGAAGCCGAGAAAAAAAAGTACATAGAACAAGGCATACAACAAGCCCGGCAAGCCTTCATTACGAAGACCAAAGAGCTCATAGGCGATTCACATTAAACTGTTTCCTCGAGGTCAACACGACATAGGGCGGCAATAGCATCACGTGATCAGGAAAGTGTTGGTTCGCGGTCATAGTGACCAGGAAGTTAACTGGGGGTTCAAACCAGGTATATACAATAGCGGAGAGAGATAAGGGCCTGACAAAAGCTTTATTGCATAAATGAAGCTTTACAGAGTCTTTTTATGTTGTGGTCTGATGCTGTGGGCGTGTGCTTGTATGGCGCATATTTTATTGATTGCATTGGGCGCGTTTCGCAGAAATTGTAAGGGATCATTCGTATTTCCACTTTCTGTTTGTCACCATACATCGTTCAAGCCAGCGACTTTAACACAAAGCATTTGCTGATCGACAAGGAAGGGAACGTTCTAAGTGTGTTGGAATACATATGCATTTTCTTTTAGAATCTATAAAAACAGCCATGCCTTTAGAACACATGACTTCAGTTGTGTTATTGTTTGTTGAGGAAAGGACTAAATGAAGGAATGATTTTTTCTGTGTTTCAGGAGCTAAGATATGGCAACCATTACCTTTTTACCACTACACGAACGAGTCGGGGAAGGACGCTATCGTCAGGGACAAACTAATACGCCAAAGTGATGGAGCAAACGATGCCCGGTATGGGAAAGGTAGGTCACAAATAACAAAAATATATGCCTACATATTTTACCACACAATCAGGTAAACAAACAAACGTTCTGTAAATCAAGCTAAGCATGTTGTTTGTATGTTTGATAAGTTCTCAATCAGCTATATGACGGCGGTCTCTGAATAATAGGGTCTGAACCAGATAACCCAGTGATGGACATCATGAACATCGATTTATGTAATTGTGATTAGGTGACATCCATTAAATAAGTCAACGAGCCTGTATGTACGTATGTATGTATGTATGTATGTATGTATGTATGTATGTATGTATGTATGTATGTATGTATGTATGTATGTATGTATGTATGTATGTATGTATGTATGTATGTATGTATGTATGTATGTATGTATGTATGTATGTATGTATGTATGTATGTATGTATGTATGTATGTATGTACGTATGTATGTATGTATGTATGTATGTATGTATGTATGTATGTATGTATGTATGTATGTATGTATGTATGTATGTATGTATGTATGTATGTATGTATGTATGTATGTATGTATGTATGTATGTATGTATGTATGTATGTATGTACGTATGTATGTATGTATGTATGTATGTATGTATGTATGTATGTATGTATGTATGTATGTATGTATGTATGTATGTATGTATGTATGTATGTATGTATGTATGTACGTACGTATGTATGTATGTATGTATGTATGTATGTATGTATGTATGTATGTATGTATGTATGTATGTATGTATGTATGTATGTATGTATGTATGTATGTATGTATGTATGTATGTATGTATGTATGTATGTATGTATGTATGTATGTATGTATGTATGTATGTATGTATGTATGGTATACTCCAAAACGTTGTGTTCCCCTTAATAAAGAAACTTACATCCATGCATCCTCTCGTGTATGCGTATAAATTCTACTATTGCCTTTCAAAGACTACAGGATTGTGCAGGTGTCGTAACAATTTTTCCAAACAATGCCTAGAATCCTTGCACCAGTACTTTCGCAAACTTACTTCAGTTATATAAGCTCCCGCGTTTCTGTACTCATTTGCAGTTTTGCAATAGTTACTCACTCCAGTGTAATTCTTTGTAGGTGTGTACGGAACAAGTCTGTCTCCTTCTGAAGGACTCAAGAAAATAGCCTGGAACAACTGGGATGGTATTGTCAACATAAACAAGGGCATGCTGATGAGGGCGTCATGGGCAATCAAGGTGGAGCTACCACAGTCCAGGGTTCGAGAAGTTGATTCAAAGCGAGACATCTTGATTTACACTGGCGGTGACCTTGTACTTGTACCTGGCAATTACGAGGTCATCAAGGTTGCCTGAGCAAAGAGAAAACCGCGATTTTGATAATGTAATTTAAAGTTCCATATATTCAAAATTTTATAAGAAGATTCAAGCCACAGATGGGTGAGAACAGATGACTATGTATGCATGATGTTGAAATCAGGACATGTCGTCACTGCAGACAACATCATCAGTATGTCACTTTCTGTCTTATTTTGTCACTTCACTCAGCAGTAAACATTGATCTATCATTGTTGTCTGTGTTGCATTATTTATTTGATACACCGTGTCAATGTTTTGTATATATCTAATTGTGCATCTGTATGTTAAACCTGATCGGTTACACTGTTTGAACAACTGGAATTATACAAAGTACACAAACATGAGAACACCTTGTTCCAAAGGGTACAGGGTATCTGATGTAAAAAGTGTTTGTATAAATGACTACTCTCATGTTTCATGTTGTGCATAATTTATACCTGATATAATGCATATATGAAACAATGTTAAACTTCACCGTGTCTACTGCCATTTAATGGTTTTAAATTAAAGAAGACGGCCTAGATGATCAGTTGTGAAGCCTGTCGTGACTAAGGCTTTTGAGCCAATATGACAAGATTGGGTGAAATAGGGTTAAACGTTGTTCTTAAGATTACTGAGCTCATATATTTGTGTGTACGTCTGTGTATGTGCTTCTCTCTCTCTCTCTCTCTCTCTCTCTCTCTCTCTCTCTCTCTCTCTCTCTCTCTCTCTCTCTCTCTCTCTCTCTCTCTCTCTCTCTCTCTCTCTCTCTCTCTCTGTGTATGTATGTGTACGTGCGGTCGTGTGTGTATGCTGTTAGTAGTCCGAACATTCTATCCACAAGACCACGAGGGTGCTCGTCCACAAGGAATAACTTTGTGACTGGACCTGAGAAAGAGAAGGCTATCGATGATGATTTGGAGATATTACGTGCGCTTCCCGACTTGTATATTTCGCGCACGTGAAAACATGTCACAACTTCTATCAATGAAGTTTGAAAATATTCACGTTAAATTGATCATTTGGGAACGTGTTATGAGGGAGACAATGACACCATGTGTATCTCCATGCTGTCTCTTATCCAAAATGTTGGTACTCGGATGATCACACAGAGATCCCAACTTGACGCAAGTACAGCTGGAAGCAAGTGTTTTACATCCTCAAGGCCTGCGGTGTTGGGAGCCGGGGATCACGGTGCTTCAACTAATAACCGCGCTGCACCCACCCATGTCATTGTAGACACTTGTGTGTACCCAAATGTTTACACATATCCATATAACAAACGGAAAGCCAATCTTCAAAGATATTGTTTATCTTACTTTGGCATCCTAAACCAGGAACGCCCACTTCCTGTACTGGGCATCATGCAACATTACTTGTTTGATAGATACACTCTCTCTGTTACGTTATTGTCAATGTATATTTTGAGTTGCCATGGTGATTGAAGATGTTTATCAGCGTACTGGATTGACAAATCAGAACTGAAATCGAATAACTCCCGAGAATAATGGCACAGAGGTTTCAATGTTTAAACTACACTTTCAGGTGCGTGTATGCCATTCCGTTGTCATGACGTATATGTCAATCCAACTGAATCCATATTCTTTGAAACTGAAAATGGAGAGAGGGAAAACGCAGCATTTAGCAGCCCCCAGACTACTGTTCAGACAAACGCTTAGTCTCGGAAAATATAAAGTTTTGAGGGAAACATATAACTGTGTTATGAGCTCTGAGATACAGAAGTGAGTTAGTGAGTTTGATAATAACAGGTCCTGAACTAGAGAAAGTCTTTATATAAGTGTATCTACATTATTGATGATATTTTTTTCAATTTCCAATTTACTTTGAGGTCGGTTAACCAGGACGGCGACATGGCCAGAGCCAGTGTTGCAGCAATCCTCTTAGTCTGTATTCAATTTATGTGCATTAACGGTGTTTACCATACCTGCCAGATAGACATTCTGTTTGTCACCTAGGCGCGAGATGCACTGGCCTCACCATATAATGTCGATAACGATTAACGTTGCAGCTAGTTTTTGTACACATTTGATTCCGTCCTGCGCGGCATGAAAGTGCTGATAAGCTGTGGTTTATGTTATTAATCAGTAATTGGAGACAGTATTTCCGCTGTAATATGCTTGTAGACGTATTCACTCCCATTAAAAGTCGGATTCAGACATAGGTCAACGTATGAATCTGCGCAGTGGAACTGTATATAACGTATCTAGCAACATCTACTTCTGTCTTCGTTAGTTACACAGCCAGGTGGCCAGGTGTGACGATGAGCTGTGTTAGGCTGATATTCTTCTTTGCGGCTGCCCTCCTCTTGTCATCAAGTGTCTCCGGGAATCAAGATGACTGGAAACAGAGTCTGAAGAGACTGAAGACTCGTCTTGATCCGAAAGGACCTACCGATCGTCTCACGGACACAAGTTCCTTATGTGAGTATCACACTTGGACCGATGCAAGTGCATGATCTAGATGATGCCACCCACCTTTGTCTGGACGGACAACTCTCTGAAGTGGAATCCCTCGGATTACTCAGGTATAGATCGAGTGGAACTTGCAGTGCTGGAGCTATGGACCCCTACGGTGATTCTGGCGAATAAGGCTTCGGGTGATGGCCCCTTGCAGACGTCAATGCCTGTCACATTAACATATGATGGTCGTCTTTTCTGGCAGAATGCGATGACAGTATCTGTCCTTTGCAAAACAGATCTGAGAAAATACCCGTTCGACAGTCAGATCTGTCCAGTGGTGTTGTTTTCTTCAGGAGTGGGATACAAGATCACCCTAGAACCAGAAATCACTATTGGCGGTGCCGACTTGAACCTGCAAACCAATGGGGAATGGGAGACTGTAAACATTACATCAGCTAAAGCAACTTTTGTGCATGAAGCCACTTACCATCTAGCCACATTCTACATTCATCTGTCCAGGAAGTACTTGTTCCACGTCTTAAACCTGGTTTACCCAATGTGTCTTCAGTCTGCCCTCAACAGCTTCGTCTTTTTATTGCCGGCTAGCTCGGGGGAGAAGATGGGTTTTGTCATGACCGTGTTTGTGTCGAACGCCCTTTTCCTCAGTGTAATCCACAACTCCACATCCTCAACTTCTGATTCTGTTTCCAACCTCTCCATGCACCTCATCATGGTCCAGATCCAAGGTTTTCTCGCCATCGCTGCCACCATCTTGGTCCAGAATGTCCACCATCGCCGCCAGAACGTCCAGGACAACGAAGACCCCCAAGGATGGAGACAGGTGAAGGTCACGCCTCAGGACGACACTGACCGTGTCCCTTCCGGACAAGGAACTCGAGACGCTGACACTGTTACGACCAGGAAGGTGCCGCTGGACAGGATGCTAGATTGTATTTTCTTTGTATGCTTCACGTGTTTCGGCATTGGCAGTCTTCTGACTCTTTTATATGCATGAGTGTTTGTCCCTGAACTAGAAGAGCAGCAGCAAATGTAGAACACTACATTATAATCCAGATGGTTGAAGAATTCTCGACAGAAAGGTGTGTACGTGTTGAAATCCATACCAGGAGCTCTTGTTTGGAGTTGGCAGGTGTTGGGATACAATTCAATAGGTCTGGGAAATTCTTCGATTGGGAAATGTGAACATAACTGTCAGATATTATTTCATAGATGTTGAAAGTGCAAGCTTTAACGATTCTGTGTTTGAAACCATGATTATCATACCTGAAGGAAAGATTCCTTTGTGGTAATTCCATCTATCACTAGTCTCCTCAATTATGTTACTACTTCACTTATTACAATACTCTTAAATAATACTGCTAATTTAAGTACAGGTATTCCCAATCGCCTCAAATATGGTAATATCGCAGATATTCCTAATCGCATCAAATATGCTGCTATCTCACTTATTTCAAGACCTCTTAATAATACTGATATCTCAGTTGTTCTTGATCTCCTCTAGTATGCTGGTATCCCACTTATTACTAGGCGCCTGGTTTTTCCGCTATCTTAGTTACTGCTAATCGCCTGAATCATACTAATATCTCGTCTATTCCGAATGCCACTTTCGCACTTGTTACTTGAAGGTATTCCTAATCACATCAAATATGCTACTATCGCACTTCTTCCTAGACACCTGATTTTGACCGATAGCTCAATTATACTTAAGTTAAACTGCCATTTCAGTTATTTATAGATTATGCTGCTGTTCCAATCCCCTTTTATTTGTTTGTTTCTATGAACTATTGATGCTACAAGTATTCATGTTTTATATCCGTTAATTCCATCACTTATGATATTGCTAACGTTGGAGCTTTTTGTGTTTAAACGTGTTCACTTTTGTGATATTTTGAAATTAATGTTTATTACATTTTCCAAATGCATTTCGAGACGATATGTTGCACAATAATATTAACGTCAGTATCACCATTTTGACATAAACACACAATAAATCCAATCTACGAGTGCTTGGAGTAGTTATTTCTGTCACAATTTCTTTTTTGAACTTTGATGCCTCTCCTACCACATTCATTGAGTTGATTCTTCAGAGGATTAAACCTGAATAAAACCACATTTCGAATTGGAACCCAAGATATCTTTTAAATAATTTGATCAATGACAACAGTTAAGCTGCTTTTTAAACTTGGCCTTTCTCCAGAAGATTACATTGGGCATTGTGTGAAATGACATGATATGAAATCTGTCTGAGCTTTGGAAACTTTGGACTTTTATTCTTTACCAACATAACTCATACCTACGGAAGCGTAGTAGGGCCACGGTGAAAATTGGAGATAGTAAGACCAAAATGTTTTTTCACCGTTGCCCTACTACGCTTCCGTACATACCTCATTTTTATGCTTCTTAAGAGAAATGCCCAGCTAGTGGATCCTGCTTGTGGCTCGATTTCTGCACCATGGTGGTTGGTCTGCCCTACAGCTGAACTGGGCGGGATCCTGTTGAATAAAAAATACTTTATCTCACTGTGTTTAAATTCACAGTAATTAAGGAAATGAAAGCATTTTGTGTACAGACCAAATGTATGGAACTCACGTTTAGGACAAACAAATATTACTGCAAATACATTACTGTGTGTGGTAAACTAACGGTAGCCCTTAATGTGTGTGGTTGAATATATTTGAATATCATATGTACAATGGCTGAATGGTATGTTATAATCCTCGTGATCACATATCTTCAAGGGCTGTCTGATGAGTTCTGAGCAGAAGTCTTTTGATGTGGACATTACATGTTACATCCATAAAACACAGACACAGCTGAGCAAATTGTCAGTAAAGTCAGTAAGCAGGAGTATTGTGACTTTTAGATAATTGACAGACTTAAGGAACATACAGTGATCAGGTGCTTGAAGACAAAGGGCTTACTTAACACTGACACCAATACATAAAGCTATAAGTAAAACTTTGGGGAAGGGTGCCACTTCCAATACCACCCTTAAGAAGTAAGGAGTAAAGTTTAAGCGTAGCAGAGATAGCCTTGAAGCTCTGTCCTGGACGACCTGTGACGAAAGCAACAGCGGAAAGGGTCCCGAGAATCTGGTGTATGGTGATGACCGACCAACGGGTCCATTTCCCAGAAGAGAGGATATTCCATTGCACCTTGACCTCTTGCAATAAAGAAAGTGTCAGTATTGGTTTCCAAAACGTCACACATCTACAACTATGATAGAGAAGGGTCCTTGAAACGTTTTGACCATGCATTCACCTCTCAAGTCAAACGCCAATCACAACAGTGGAGTCATTTGACATCCCCACCACCTGAAGAAGATAGTTCCCATCAGCTGTAAAGGTTGTGGTATCCTGGTTCTGGGATGCCGAGGATGTTACATTCAGAAAGCAGACAATAAGCGCAACATTTTATGCTGCCTTTTTGCGGGACTGATGGGATTACACTTATACGAATGATGTTCCTCCAGTACAATCCACAAGCAACTGATCAGAGAGGAGTGTGGCTTTGAGGATTTCTGCCTTCCTTGGTTGAAATAGTTCGCACATCCTTGTCAGAAGTGTACAAGTGTGGAAGGGAATTATGTTACAAAATATCTTATTTTAATGTCTATAGGTCAATCCTTCTATCCGGGGCTCAGAGCTTCGTTAGCTTCATGTGATCAGGGGATCAGGAGGTCATAATCCTGACACTTGGCTTGACAATAATTTCTGTACTTCTTAAAAATAATAGTGTCACAATCCCGTCCATAATCACATGAAACCTGTGCTGAAACATGACTCCAATTAATGAATACAACTAAATCATACGCATGTATTCCTGAAGCACCGCCAAACAGTCATGATTCCAGGTGTTGGCCAAAAGTCAGTGCATCCTGTCCTACCAGAGGGACCAGTTATACACATGCACAGACAAGGCGACTGAATAAATGACACATGTATAAACATGTAAACAAATGGTACAAGATAAATAGGTAATTGCGTCAGACATACTTTTTCTCGACGAGAATACCATAAAACCTTTGGAAGTTTTAATTAATCATCTGTTCAAACAACCTTACAACAACAGCCGAAGTGGGTAAATCAGTGAAAAGAATTGGCTATTTGATGGCCACTGATGCAAATTATCATTGAGGTACACACAATAGGGGGTCGTGTTGAACATTATTTTGGTCTGTGTACCTCAATGATAATTGTGCTGAACTATGACATAGGGGGTCGTGTTGAACATTATTTTGGTCTGTGTACCTCAATGATAATTGTGCTGAACTATGACATAGGGGGTCGTGTTAAACGTTATTTTGGTCTGTGTACCTCAATGATATAGGGGGTCGTGTTGAACGTTATTTTGGTCTGTGTACCTCAATGATAATGAACATTATTTTGGTCTGTGTACCTCAATGATAATTGTGCTGAACTATGACATAGGGGGTCGTGTTAAACATTATTTTGGTCTGTGTACCTCAATGATAATTGTGCTGAACTATGACATAGGGGGTCGTGTTGAACATTATTTTGGTCTGTGTACCTCAATGATAATTGTGCTGAACTATGACATAGGGGGTCGTGTTGAACATTATTTTGGTCTGTGTACCTCAATGATAATTGTGCTGAACTATGACATAGCCGGTCGTGTTGAACATTATTTTGGTCTGTGTACCTCAATGATAATTGTGCTGAACTATGACATAGGGGGTCGTGTTGAACATTATTTTGGTCTGTGTACCTCAATGATAATTGTGTTGAACTATGACATAGGGGGTCGTGTTGAACATTATTTTGGTCTGTGTACCTCAATGATAATTTGCTGAACTATGATACCTCTGTGAACTGTAGAAATTTAAAAATCAGTGCAATGGTATGTTATGGCTTTGCCAGGTTTAGTAGAAACCGAGTCAGAATCTGGCAGTTTGAATCAAGAGAGCTACGTGCTGTTGTAAGACCACACCCCTCTTTTTATCCCTGAACTGGTATACATATTTCGGACAAAGAGCTAAGTTAAATTCAAGGTTGCGGTACTTCTTCTCATAGCAACATGACAATTGTCCTAAAGGTGCCTCCTCATGACGAATGTGAACCTTACTCTCTCCTCTCGGTGTTCACACATTACATTTGTTTGTCACAGATGCAGTAATTAAAGGCCGGGTTCAAACCTATACACAGATAGGGTGTGGTCTCTTTGCCTTGTCAAAGCTGTCCTTAGATGCAAAGCAATGTAGTATTTAAGTACATTCCATGAAATATCACAAAACTGACTCACCGGTTCAGGATGATATAAAGTCATAGTATAAAGAAGTATGCTGTTAAGACTCACAGCAAAAATTAGGGACGCAGAGACATTTTGAAAATCTATTTCTCATTTTTAAATCCAGATTTGAATTTCCCGCTGTGTCAGTCAGGTGGCCAGAGGAGGTGCGTTTCCATAGAAACAAGCCTTGAAGTGGGGAAATGTTTCATTCAGGGTTTCATATTTCAGGCAGGCTGGGAAAATGCCCCCTCCCCACTCCACTGACACCATGCTGTGCAGGGCTTGGGTTGTCCACTTATCTGATGCAAACCTCCAAAACCCCCGTGAGTTCCCAAATAGTCTCCCATTTGCTACCCCTCAGCAGTGAAGATGTTATCAGCCTGTGATTGACAAGGCTGTAACAGCTATGGGTGCCTGGCAAGAGCCTGGCGATGTCAAAGGTTAACCTTGGAATTTACTACTAGAATAAACATGTGCCTTATAGTAAATGTCCAACAACCCTTTCACTTCATACTTTGATGACTAAAGAGATTAATTTGATTAGCATATACGAAACATCAAATTTTACTTATATTTTGAATATAAAATCTTCAGCAAAGAGATGTCAGCATCAGATAAGTGGACAACCCAAGCCCCCAACCTGTGTTTACAGGTTATTCATCAAAGGCAAAAGATGTTTACCAGTCGTTGTCAAGTTGGGATGGTAGGTGCTCAATGTGGGTATTTATGTCTGGTTAATGCAGT